AGTTCGGTTACCGGAGTCGAGAGCTTCTCTCTCTAAAACCTTCGGAGTTCCCTAGGGTTGCGGCCGTTGGGGTTTCAATTTCCGATTTCGGTTGCTACGAAGATCGGTGATACCGGTGTGGTGAAGGCAACGAAGGCAGTGGACGGGATTCTCGCTTTGACAGGCTCGTTTTGTGGCTTGAATTCGGACGAACAGAAAGAGAATGGATATGTTCGATTGGGATTCAGGCGAACGAACGGAGAAGGATTGAATGGAGGATATCGTCAACATTTACAAGAAGATGACCATCGAATAGGGGTGAGAAAAACCGAACCGAAACCTGTAAACCGACCCTGGACCGACCCAAATTATGATCCCGGTCCGGGTTTTTATTTTTAACCGGCCCGAATTAAAAAAAAACCCGGACCGAACCTGAAATTTCGAGCTCATTAATGGGCCTTAAAATCTATAACCCGGCCCAGATCGATAAAAAACCGAAACAATTAGCTTTAATATAAAATTAATATAATATATGAATATAAATTTATAAATATTTCCTAATATATGATTATAATCACGGTGGATAAAAATAATAATTTAGTAACTTGTAGTGACTACAAATATGTTCAATTTGTTTAGCGTAATGACCATGAAAATATATTTATAGCAACTCTAGTCACATTTTTATATATAAATTGTATTTCGTAAAATTTTTAGGAAACCTATATTATTTATTTATATGCATATTAAATAAAATATTAAGATAACTATCATTTTTGGATTTGAATTGTTGGTGATTTTGGAGACTAATATTTATATTATTATTTGCGGTTTGTATTTTTGATTAATTTTATTTGAAAATAGGTGTTAAAATATAAAAGAACAATGACATATTTCACGTTCGGGCTTTAACCGGCCCTACCCGAACCCAAGCTACCAAAAACCCGACTCGGACCGAATATAATGGGCTTTGTTCCGGTCCCTAATTTTCATAACCCGATACCTTCCGGATAATTTTCGGGTTTAGCAAAAACCCGACACAGACCGGACCGATCCCACCCCTGCTATCAAAGAGAAGGAGAACGAAGTCAATTTTGACGATGAGGCAGCAGAGGACTTCGAGGAGGTGGACGAGCCGAGGGTTTTTCCGGTGGTTGGGGTCGTGGTCACAGACCGAAAGGTCAAGCTTCCGGGGTTCCAAGAACTGTTGGCTTCGATCCGGCGGTCAGGAAAAGGTATGTCCATCAAGGACATTGGAGAAAAAAAGTAGCTCTTTAATTTTAATCATGTGCTGGATATGTATCGTGTGCTTGAGGATGGTCCCTGGTTGTTTGAACATGATCTAATTCTTCTAAAAGTTGTTCAACCAGATGATATACCTGAATCAATGAATTTGTTTGAAGCTAGTTTTTTGGTACAGGTTCATGATGTCCCTATTAAATTTAGAAATTTGGGATCTGCCGGGAAAATTGGGATTTTTTAGGCTGGTTTATCTAAAAAATTATAAGCACCAATAGTGGTTAGGGCATTTCAGGTATGATAAAAATGTTGGTGTAAAACTAAAGCAAGATGTAGTTGTACACTTTGTTAAATCCGTTGTACCATTCATTATTAATCTTTATTTATCCTTACCTCCGTTAAAATCTATCTATTCATCCCTTAGAGTTCAATCTAAAAAATTATAAGCACCAATAGTGGTTAGGGCATTTCAGGTATGATAAAAATGTTGGTGTAAAACTAAAGCAAGATGTAGTTGTACACTTTGTTAAATCCGTTGTACCATTCATTATTAATCTTTATTTATCCTTACCTCCGTTAAAATCTATCTATTCATCCCTTAGAGTTCAATGTGTTACTTCATGTTGTTTACTTCATCTATTAATTGCAAGGGATTTATCACTTTGCCTTCCATTTAATGTTTTTGGTTTAATTACAGAAAAAGATGCTACTGGAGAGTTTCGAGCAGGTTAAGTAAACCAGTGTATCTATTCATTATTAATGTTTGTTATCTATCTTAAATGAGTTAACTTTGAAAGTTTTGACCTTAGATAATATTATTTTCTAGCATTTTAAAAGTGCTTGTATTCCTAATTTATATTAGTACTTTTAATTTAATATTGATTATTTTTTGTAATTTATTTGAAACTATGGTTTAAGATCATTTGACTATATGTTTGGATCTATTGAATTTGAATATTTTAGTTTCAACGATGACATTTATCTTTATTTTTTATTATACATTGGGTTCACTTAAATTACAATACATGTCTTATTCAATAAGTACATTTAATAAATAAATGAGTATAACATTTAATGAAATAGTTTAATTTTATCAACACATAATATTAATAGTTAAACTTGCATAAAGGTTTTTCCCACACATTGAAAAGAATTTACCTACACATGCACATCATTTTTACCCACACATACAATTACTTTTACCCACACATCGTGTATGTCCACGTGGCAGTGTTCTAGACATAGACAAAATGACACGTCAGCAGCCACATTGGTTTCCACGTCACACGCCACATAAGCAGCCAGATTTTAGATAAAATTTTTCTGGGATTTTTCCTTAAATGTTACTCGCACTAAAATAAAAGTGGTGGATAAATATACAACTTAAGTTACTACGTTATCACTACGGTGTAAATAGAATATCATCATGCTTACTAAGGATATTATTATAGTCACTGAGGTACAAGAATTTTGTCCACTGCCTTTATTTTAGATATAAACACTATAATTACCCACACATAATTTATGTGTTGGCAATAACTTTTACCAACAGACTTTTACCCACACATCGTAACATTTAATATATGTGTGGGTAAAACCCATTGCCTACACATACCTATTGTTTTACCTACACATGCATGTATGGGTAAATAATCTATTTTCTTGTAATGTAAGACTCTTGCATTATGTTTGGATATGAAAGGTCTATGGTAATCGTCATTGGCTTTAAGTTGCCCAATTCAGGTCTAGTGAGTTATATTGCTTTAATAAAGGTGGTTAACTCTGAGTCTCGGCCAAGGACGGGTAGTTACGTGTGGTTCTTTTATTATCATGTATCCCTGCTGAATGCTATTTTATTACTTTAAGCCCCCTTCGATAAAAAAATATTTTAATAATTTTTTATTAATTTATCAATTTATCAATAAAATATATTTAAATACAATTTTTCCACAACTCAGCTGATTCAGCCTATTCAGTCATTTCAAAAATAATTTCATCAATTTCAGTAGATTCACCCGATTCAGCCAATTCCACCGATACCAAACAACATTACCATTATGTCATTCTCAAAATAGGGCTCCTTCACTTTTATTTTGAGAAGTTTAATCGAACTTTTTCTTCTAATAAGACTAAATAAGTCATATTTGATGAATAATACATAAGTAGTCTTATTTTCATTGTTTGTGTTTTAATCTTATATTGAGCAAATTCTAATCTCCCTAATCTAACGCAGCGTGTTCCACCATAGAAAAGGAGCCTAAAGATATCAACGATAAAAATTTTCTGAGATTTTTCCTTAAATGTTACTCGCACTAAAATAAAAGTGGTGGATAAATATACAACTTAAGTTACTACAAGTATATTATCGTTATCACTACGGTGTAAATAGAATATCATCATGCATGCTTACTAAGGATATTATTATAGTCACTGAGGTACAAGAATTTTGTCCACTGCCTTTATTTTATATATATATATATATATATATTTGTCATTATTTCAACTTTAATTTATGGGCACATTCTGGAGATTTTTGAAGAGTTAAATAATAAAAATGCTATATAGCCTAAATAAATAGGGCACTTAAAGTTAATAGTCTCTATTTTATTTATTAAAATACATAGCCTCTATTTTAACTACCTTATGTACTTCTACTATGATTTGGGAGGATATTGCGGACTAAGAGGAGTAGTTAACTCATTTTAAGTGCACTGATGGATTTTTACAAAGGCTATCTACTTAATTTTTATTAATCCATAATATTAACTTAAACACACATATTTAATTATGTACATACACCCAATTTTCTCTATATTTTAATAATTAAATATATAGATTTTAATATTACGCTCCTATTATACTCCGTATTTTGAGCAAGATGTTTTTAAATGAAACGAAAATTTCTTGTATGATGTGGTGTGGTCTGAGCTAACGAATGTCTGTTTTATATGTATTGTTTTACTATTGTGTAAATTCGGTGTGGGCTGATCTAATTTAGTCTGGATTGAAATCAATCAATTAAAAACATCATAATAGCTAGGTTTTGATAATCATATTCAGTTTTATTTAGAGTTCATTTGGTAGTTTATTTGTTAAATTTTGCACGTGAAATGATTGCATGCCAAGTTTAGGCAAATAACCACTTTGCATGTAAAATGTATTACATTGTTTCGTTATATGTGTAATTTATTTTTAATTTTCACGCAAAGACGTTGCAGTGCTTTATAAAAAGGATGCAAAGTATTTCACCCCCCCCCCCTCCCGTAAAATAATTTACATGGTTCAATACAAAATATTTTTAAAAAGTGTCCTACGGTATACACTAAAACCCCGGCCAAACAGTGTAAACCTTTTACATCTATGCACTTTACATACAAAGTAATTATTTTACCTCATACCAAATCCCCTCTTAGATTAGAACTTTAAGAAATAATTATCTAAGACAATTAGCGACGTTTTTTAGTAACGTAGAGAGAGGAGCGGCAAATGGGAAACCCTACCCACCTCCTCTTATTTTCTTCTTTTCTTCTCCTCTTTCAATCTTCTTTTGATTCCAATCATGAAAAAGACTTCGTTTGATCAGTGTTTTCAGTTTTACCTTTATGTTTATTTTCAGTTCTACTCTCAATCAATATGAGGTAAAATTCTGTTTATTCTTGTACTTGTAGTTTTACTTTGATGAGATTAATGAGACTTTTGAAAGGTGTTAAGACTTGATCAAACTGTTGAAAGAAATCAAAAGAATATTTTGACATAGAACTCAAAATTTAGAGCTAGTTATGGAACTCTTGAAAAAAAAATGAAATTATCAAATATGATAGTCATACAAATTCAGTGACAAGCTGAACCATTCTATGAACAATTATTTTCATACCGTGCCTATTCAAATGATGGATGCATGAGATTCTCATATTCCTCATACTATGGGAAAAGGGCATTTATTTTGAAGATGACCCTAAAATTCATTGATGTCACCAATAAATATTTTACTAGTAAAGCAAATAACCTTGCAAAAAGAAACTCTTCCAATAAGAAACCTTCAAAAGCACCACTAAAATTATGTACGGTAATGTAGTGACTGATTGCAAAGTGAAGCAACTGCTTGGCAAAGGAACTAGAGTCTCTACATGGCAGAGCCCTAGATGTATGATCACGAATATCTAAACTAACTTGAGTATCAACACCACCACTTGGATTGCAGAGAATGGATGTTCAAGGCACATGACTAGGTGACAAGACATGCAAAAAAGAAGGTATCCCTCTATTTGAAAAACGTAACTTGTTGACTCATAGCCATCTCTTGGAAACCAGGGCCTACAAGCACTTAAGAAGTCTGCATACTCAAAGTATCATCAGTGATGTGATGATATCAACAAGGGTTTAAAAGCTATATGTAACATTAATCCATGTAATGTTATGCATATGTTAGTTAGTCCCCAAAAACATAGAAAAAGCCTTTCGTAATGACGAATGATTTATGCCAATGCAAAAGGAGTTAGATCAATTTGAGCACATTATTGCATGGGAACTTTGTTGAAATGCTAAATAACCATCCAGCTATTATGACCAAACATGTTTTAGCAATGAGCTGGATAAAATTGGTGAGATACTCACAAAAAACGACTTAGTTCTAAGTGATCTAATCAAGTTGAATGAATAAATAACGAGAAAACGATTAGGATCTTATAGCGTAGGCTTATTACACGGATTTTAAACTTTTAAAATGACCAAAGAAAGTGTAATCCTAAATGAAATCATAAAAGAGGAGGCTTACATGGAGCATCTTATTGATTTTGAAAATGTCACCTTTTTCAAACTATTTTTACAAGCTTAACAAATAGTCAAAAACCATCATGAATATGATGGACGTGTTTATTTTCTTCTCTGATTTTCAAATTAAACAAATGAAATAAGGAATATCTTGTTTCAATGAAATTATGAAAATACGCAATTCCTAAAAGTGAAAATATGCAAAGAAATTCTATGAGAAGTTCAATTTTCAAGAAGGAAGAAACTTTGAATCGCTACGAGCTCTACCATCAAAGTGGAAGGATAAAGACGACAACCTTATTAATGAAATTAAAAGGTATATATGAAAAGTAGTATGCACTCTAAGATGAAGTGAATTTAGAGCACTCTAAAATTGACAACCCGTCTAGGTTTCAATATTGATAAATTGATAAAGTAAAGGGAAAAGGGGCAAATAAGCCCTCGAACTAACTTAAAAAGTGCAAATCACCCCTTATATAGGAGGCTTTGTCCGGCGGTCACCATTTGGAGTGGTTCCCGGTGGAATTTTTTGATGAAATTTTTTGAGCATCTTCTTCATTAAGTCTAGTTTACCCATACCAAATTTCAGCTAAAAATTCAATAGGGAAGAAAGTCAAATGATTTTCTGAAATATACTGCGCTATTTAACTGCGCAGTTATCTTCAAAAATTTATTTAAATGCCTTCCCGATTGAATGTTTAGCTGAAATTTGGTATGAGTAAACTAGACGTAATGAAAAAGATGCTCAAAAATGTCATCAAAAAATTTCACCGGGAACCTCCCCAAATGGTGACCGCCGGACAGAAACTCCTAGATAAGGGATGATTTGCACTTTTTAAGTTAGTTCGGGGGCTTATTTGCCCCTTTTCCCTAAAGTAAAAGATCAAACTCCCCGATTAAGTTGTTTACTAAGCTCATAAGATATATTAAGCGTATTATTTAAACCTATCCTTGTTTGGTATATACTCCGTATGAAGTAAAACATTTGTGTATTCTAAAATACTGTTATGTTTCTATTATCTAAATATCAGTAATTACTGTCATGTAATTTCCAAGTTTGACAGTAATTACTTCTATTTATACACAGAATATAAATATGACAATCTAATTTTGGAGTTCTGAAACGTTTATGTTTTTATTTCGAAAATTTTCCCATTTCGCTGTGGTTTAACATTGCTTTCTTTTGTTTTAGTTATCCCTGACCCGGTCCAAACCTTTTGAATCTAATCTAGTCTAAACTGATTTGAGGGGTGTTTGGATCTGATTCTTTAAACTGTTTCTGCTCTTTCAGGGAGCAGAAGCTGTAGTGTTTGGATGAGAGTGCAAAAGTGATTCTGGTACTCAAATTTGTTCCTAGAATCAGTTTTTAGAAGTTGAGGATGAGTGCCTATATCCTACAACCGGATGTAGGTACATCCAGCCCAATTGAAGAAGACAGCCCATTAGCTTATATATGTCATTTTATTTTCGGTGGCGTTTTTGTAATTTAAGCAAAAAATCGTGGCTTCAGCTAAATGAGTATTTGTGTACTTTTAATGAGCAATATTCCAATTTTAATGAGTATTAAGGCTCTAATAATGAGCATCGTGTTATTACAAGAAAGCTGATATCACAACTATAAAACGATGGTATTTTCATAATTTCAGTGAAAATCGCGGTTTTCGTTATATGAGCATTAATACACTTTTAATGAACATCGGAAGTATTCTACTGAGCATTAAGAGTCAAATAATGAGTATTGTGATATCAACTTCATATATTGTAATTCACTTTCTTTTTCTTAAATTTTCTTTTTTAAAAACTTATAAAATTATATGTGTAATCAACTACTATGAACTTCAATATGCAAATTTAATGTAGCATGATACTTTTGAAATATGCACTAATATGATATTTTGAAAATGAGCATAAAATGAGTATCAATTGAACAAATGTAACCTACAAAATGAGCATTGATATGAAAATCACGAGTATTTTTAGTTGAACATCAAAACATTTTCATTGATCATCAAACTTTCACTATTGAGTATTATAAACATGCAACTGAGTATCATTGTATGTGCTCCCGTATCTAAATCAAGTTTTACGTGAATCTAATATAGTATGATACTTCTGAAATGTGCATCATATAACATTTTAAAATGAGTACAAAAATCGATATCAAATGAGCACGCGTAACTTACAAAATGAGTCCAATATGTGAATCTAATCTAATATTATACTTTTGAAATATGCATGTATATGACATTTTAATATTAAATGAGCATAAAATGTGAATCTAATGTAGTATGATACTTTTGAAATATGAATTGATCTGACATTTTTAAATGAGCATAACATCATTACCAAATGAGCATATATAAGTTATAAAATGAGCATGTATATGAAAATCGTAAGTTTTGTTAGTTGAACATGAAGATATTTTCTTTGAACACTGGAACTTCTCTATTGAGTATTAAAACAATTCAATTAAGTATCGTGATCTCTGCTCATAGTACCAAATAAGCATACATAACTTACGAAATGAGCAACGAAAAAAATACAAAAAGTTTATTTAAAATCTACAGTACGATCAAATTTGTATTGTGTACTTCATTTGAATTTTTTAATATGCTCAAATTTTCTATTGTGTATGCTCATATGATTTTTCTAATGTGCTCATATATTCATTATGAACACTCAATATGAATATGAATATGAACACTCATATTCATTATAACAATATACTCATTTTGAACATAGCGTAAAACTTATATTAGAAATTCATAAGCTGAAAGTTTTAAAACAAAATATAAAATATAATATTAAAGTATCATAGATATCTATTAATATCTAAAGGAGCAGTTTTTTGTGAATAGTGTTCCCTCCCATTTGTGTCAACATCAGGTTTTATTGTAATTTTTCATCAAAAATAACTGTAAAATAAATGTTCTGTAAAGATGAGTTCACTCAAGAAATTTATACGTAGTATTTGCTTTTCACAAATTCAAGATTTAGTGAATAGGATCAAATCAAGGATGTTGTATTGCTATTGGTCTAGAAAAAGGTGGGATGGTGCGCATTAAAGTTCCAATTGGCTTACAAAAAGTAGAGCACTGTTCACAAAGAAGAAATGACAATGATTGGCTTTTCCTATTGGTTAAAAAGGAGGTGACACTATTCATCATGACAATAATTTCACATAGCTCAAATGGATGTATTCCTATTGGTGCAAAAAGGAGGTGGTGCACAGGATCAAATTATTGAGTGTGTTCCTATTGGTTAAAAAAGGAGGTGCACTGTTCCAATTTTTTGATGCTTTGTTTCTATTGGCTGAATTGGGTGGTGAGCACAGTAAATGAGATTGAGTGTATCTCAATCTTTGCAAGTAGCATGGTATTGCTCAGCTATAAAATCAAAGATTCCTCACATCCATTGCCACAAAAATCTGCAATAGCAAAAGATTAGATATAGTTCTTTCAAAATTGTTGGAATGTGTTCTATGATTCAGGAGATTGATCAAAGCAGTACCAGTTGGGCCATAAAGGACTAAAGGACTGAGCAACAAGAGTATATCGAGAACATGTTGGCTCTTGCACATGATGGCTTTAATTCCTCCAACCATGGTGGCCAGGGCAATCAATTGGAAATCTGCACATACGGAAGAAAGCTATATGTTTTCACAAAAGTGAAGCCATTTGTTTTATAGTATTTATGGTGCAGTCTTATCAACCGTATGATTAATGGCTTAAATAAATGTAGCCGCAGCAGTATCATAAATACAATTCGGACATTAAGATATAATAACTTGAAGAGATATACTTGGGATTTGGGATGCTTGCTGCCCTTCGTTACTTACTGCTTTTATATGCGTTCCAAATATATGTATGAAGTAGATCTTTAGGAATGGCAGAAAATTTGTTGTTGGAAAACGTATAAATATGTTATTGGGACTCCAAATATGAGTCAAAACACCGAATACTACAAACACCCGTTAAGAAAAACATGTTATGCATTCAAGTATCGATGAACATATCAATGAGTTCATTATTTGAGAAAAAGAACCAGTAAATTAGATTTTTTTACACCAACCAGTAAATTAGATAAGAAAGTAAATTGGATAAGAAACAAGAGTGACATGCATTAAAAAGATTTGTTTTACCAGTCCATATCACAAAAATAGAATATTGTAAAAAAAGATGCACCAGAGTAGAATATTAAGAAAAGAATTTACAATAAGGAATAGGCTGTACATACAATTAACTACATTACAATAGCATACTACGTACATTGTCTGAGTATTACTATGACATTCATATATTATATTGTCTGAGTATTACTATGACATTCATAGCATACTACCCCCTGATTGGCTGGCATTACTAGGGCAATTAGTTTTACTATGGCATTTCATATATTTTATTTTTCCGCTTACAAGCAACCATAATAAATGAATAATTGCATACCTTCAGTTTTCCTGCTTGGAGCTGATTTTAGTCCTGCCTCATGAACTTGCAGCTTCACAATTGATATCACTTCCATTATAGGATCTTCACCTGCACACATTAGCAGTGGTTCTATTGTGTTGTAATGGTATGCTTAAGAGTCTGTGTGTTTGGTGTGTGTTATATCGACGCTTTCTTTTGAAATACCGGATTGAGGTTTAGTGCAACTATCGTTGAGAGATAATAAATGTGTGGTCTGATGCTGGGTGGTTCGGGTTAGCTGAGGTGTGGTGGGGGTGGTACCCTTAATACGCGTTTGGTGAGTACACGTTTACAACTATCAGTGTTTTTTTTTTTACTTTTCTTTACCTTACCTCTCTAGATTCTTCTCCTATTTTTTTTTCTTACAACGAAGTTTATTAATTAAAATGACATTTGTAATTATTTTAAAATTTTATTACGCTAGAGGTTTCTGGAGTTTTCTAAAATATGTAAGATACATTAAAATATAAAGATTTTGGTGCCTGTATTATGAAAAAAGGGTTACATAAAAATTAAAATGTATAAATAATTATTCCATATATTTTACGATAATTCTACATATTATTTAAAATTTAAAATATATAAGTAATATAATTAAAGGATAAGGCGTGTGGTAAAATAAAATGGAAAATTTGGTTTTGACAAAAAAACTCTCTTACAGTTAAAAATTTTCTGGAATACAGAATATTTAGAACATTTCAAATCAAAGATAGAATCGCATGTAATGAAAAAAAATTGGGAAAAATTAATCGGGGAAAAATGCTTATTTGTGACGGTTAAAAAGGAAAACTGAATTTAAAAAAAAGTTTTTGTCATGTTGTTGCTATATCGGTAAAAACGAGTTACATTTGTTGAAAGAATCACAAGATGAAAAAAAAAACTCCATGTTTTGGTTGAAAGTTTGAAGAAATACGAGAAAATGAAAGACCCTCCTAGGGCCTGTGCAGATCCGTATGGATTTATACTCTTTAATTTTTGACCGATAGTAGATTTCTGGTGGTTTTTGTTACATATTATGAAAAAGAGGGAGTGGTGACCCACAGATCTGCAAGAGTTCAAGCTAACGGTGGAAGAAAAAAACAGATCTGCAGTACAACCGATCTGTAAGGTTTGAGGTTTTTCCCCAATGAAAATGTTTTGTTGTTGTTTGCGGGTAGAAAAAAGCGAGTAGAAGGAATGGCGAGGTGTTTGTGCATGTAAGGGTTAGTCTTTCGTTGTGGTGTGAGAAGAAGAAACTTACCGAAAATAAAAACGTTGGAAGGTGGAAAATACGGCATTCTTGGTTATGACCGGAGGGAGATTGTGCACCGACGGAAGGCAGCTGCTTTGAATTCTGGCCGATCTGTGGAGTCGTGAGAGAGAGGGGGAGAGGTCTCACTATCGGCGTGATATTCGGGAGGGTTGAGGGGAATGAGGTGCATCGGTTTTATGCGGTTGGGCTGTTCGGTTTTGGGGGGAGGAGGCTTTGTGGGCCGGCCCATTTTTGTTTTTTGTGTTTTTATTACAAGCATGAATATGAGCTGATTTATACTTCGTATTGTGTACAAGAAAAATGGGGGGGGGGGGGGTAATATTTTTTTAAAATTTAACTTTTGATGTCAAATTTATAATTTTGGATTTGGCCATTGCTATGAATTTTCCAATTAAATGTCAAGATGTCTTGGATGATACAACATATTGAATTTTGTTTTTTTAATACCTAAGTTGAACTCATTTCTAAGTAAATGAAACAGATAGATAAAAAAATATAACATTCTGGCATGAGGAATATACATGTCTTCATTCAAATAAATATTAGTTACGAACAATTTGTCATGCCTTAAATAGAACAAAAATATTGATGAAGTGTACAAATATGACCATCATTGTTTCTTTTCTAAATGAGGATCACCAATATTATAATATTATTGACTTAGACAGAAGAGAAATTTACATTTTTTTTGTAAATGTCATGAAAGATTATTGTTATTATGCATGTTAATTTAGACACAAAAGTGTTTTACATTTTTTTTTAATATTAGGCTCATTTTAACGACAAAAATATGAAGCCACATATATAGTAACATATATAGTGACAAAATTAAAAAATTTGTCACATATATAGATTTAATTATTGAACGTGTTTCGAAAATTTTTGTGCTTAAAATGATAGGATTACTTTTCATATACGGACTCAACTAACATTTTCTCACAAATTCATATTTGAGTATTGTTTAATAATGCCGTAATACACTTTCACACATTTGCACACCTCCTGATTTGCCAATTTGTCCAGGCAATTCGTGTAAAAAATGCAATTCGTATAGATAAAGACATAACACATTTTCACATATCTGCACCCCCCACCCCCCGGATTTGCCAGGTTACATCAGCAATTCGTCTAAATAATGCAATTCATATAGATAAAGACGTAACACATTATCACATATCTGCACACCCCCCTAATTTGTCAGGCTACATCAGCAATTCGTCTAAATAATGCAATTCGTATAGATGAAGACAACACATTTTCACATATCTGCACACCCCCTGTTTTGCCAGGTTACATCAGCAATTTGTCTAAATAATGCAATTCGTATAGATAAAGACATAACACATTTTCACATATCTGCACACTCCCCTGATTTGCCAGGTTACATCCGCAATTTTTCTAAATAATGCAATTCGTATAGATAAAGACATAACACATTTTCACACATCTGCACACCCCCTGATTTGCCAGGTTACATCAGCAATTATTCGCCTAAATAATGCAATTTGTATAGATGTAATGTCACCATATTATTTAGTAATTATAAAAATTTATACCTTCAGTTAACATATATAGACCTTTGATTTGAAAATGAAAAATTTTTTATCAAAAATTTACTTGAATGAAGGATTTTAATAAGGGAAAATTTTCGAATATGAGTAAATAAGTTTGAGAATTCTAAAATAAGATTGTCATGTTTTTCATTGCCAAAATAGGTGTAATTAATGTCAAGCTTGAAAAATATTGTCATGCTTAAGGTCCAATTTTGGAATACATATAACTTTTTTTTTCCTATTTAGTGTAAGTTCCCTTTTAATTTAACAAGGGTTAATGCTAGACAGAAGGTACAAAGAAGTGTATCATAAAATTTGCCATGGAATGTAATTTGTTTTCAAATGATGTTTATATTGCGTGTTTATACTATTTTGCGGGCTATAAAAAATAATGTACTACTCTGTAATCATTAGTAAATTGTATTTTATATGTTTCATTTATGTCAAGTTTTATTATTGTATGGAGTATAATTCTAAACAATGGTTTGTTTATTTTTTAATTAAAATGTTGGCTAATGTTAATTATACTCGCGAAATTTCACCAATCGTGCATTGCACGAGTATTGATGAAGAAGGAATCACTGAACAAGACTCAGAATGTTGTATTCAAAAAGTGCTCAACAATGTTTATGATTACATGAAATGTATATTTACAATGTTATGGTTTCTAAGTATTTGTTGGATGTTTTTGATTTTTTAAGTAATGCTCAGTTCTCTCTTTTTAACTATAATATATACTATAAGTGTGTTTTGTTTATTGCTTGAAGTTATATCAATATTCCGTGGAGATAGATGCTCATCAATTGATAGTGTAATTTGAATTAGTGAGCACAAACAAATTTGAAGGAAAATTCTCAGACCGTGCATCGCACGGGTGAGTTTACTAGTATTGATGAAAAGCAACAGAATTGACGGTTAGTGGGATTGTGGGGACGGTGAAAGGAAAGCGTAGATCAAGAAAAAAAATGTTGGTGAAGAAGCTTCTCGTTGAGATTTGGATTGGCTGCCGCATGAAAAGAAAAGAAAGGAACGGAAAAGTAAGAAGAAGACCATCGATTTTTGGGAGATAGGAACGCCCAGGTCGGCGGCTATTCACCACACCTCAGCGAACAACGCAGAACAGAGCTCCGACCTTTACCATCGAAATTCTAATTAATTACAAAAATACCCGGTTGTACGGTTCTCACCGTACAACCGGGTGTACGGTATAATTTGCCGTTGAGGATGACCAGAAAAACTGATTCTGATTCTACTTCTGCTTTAAAAAAAAAGTAGAAGCATAATGTGTGATCTAATTGGGCCTGGTAACAGATCATGTAAATTTGAGTTTTGTAATCTCTCCCGACTCTGTGGCACTCACCGTTTAATGGCGAGCGCTTCACTGCATGAAAAATCCCGGAAATGAAAACGCTTACCGTTAAAACCCTGTAACGAATGGAAGATTAACGAATCAAACACCAAATATATTTTCACTTCCTCAGCCTCACGGATTGTCGCCGTTTACTATACCCGAGAACAATTTCTTGGATTAGATTTCAATAACATGAGGTGGGAGAAGGTGAGTGCACAAGGAAATAACTTGGGGCCTGGTAAGAGGTGGGGCCACACTTGCAATGCCATCGCAGGAGGCAAGCTTCTTTATGTGTTCGGTGGCTATGGAAGTTTTGACTGCCAGACCAACCGAGTTCACGTCTTCGATACTGGTATGCGTTTCACTAACTCATGGCCTTAATCGTCCTCTTCACGCCTAAGGATATTTCGTTTTGAGTGTTTTTTGCCACTGCTAAATTTGTTTTTTTGGGGTTTGCGTTTTTTGAGTATGTCCGTTTGTTTTCAGGATTTTCTTGATTTCATTCTTAATGGGCTCTTGATAGTTGAGCTGTGCTATTGTATACGATTCTTTATGAGTTAAGCTATTAGCTATGTTCTTAAGGATTATTATGCGGTTCTATGGTTGGCATCGTGCTATCGTCCACATGTAGTTCTTCTCTAATGTGATCCATAATTTAAATTTCTTCTTTTTTGTGTTTTTTGGTATCATTTATCTTATCTTTCTATCTTGTTTAGTTCCGATTCCATATGTCAATTCATGTTAGACCTCAAACTCTTTTGAGATAGGCTTGGTTGTTGTTATTGTTGTGTTAAAAGTGAGAGGTGGGAAGAGGAGGCGGGGATGAATACCCAAATAGATATGGACTAGAGGGGTCACCGAAATTAGAAACAAAGGCTCTATTTACTCCAATTATGTTCTATTTATTCAAAAAAAACTCTGTTTTGTATAAAAAAACCTCTACTTCGCAAAAAGGCTAAGGTACCCATCTCGTAATATTTTGTAAATAAAGTTCAAATACAAGTTTTAGAACTCGATAAGTTCTTTCCAACAAGATATAAAACGCTTGAAATGGAACTAAATACCTATCCTTTAATATTTTGTAAATGAAGTCTAAGTACAAGTTTAAGAACTCGATAAGATTACTCCAACAAGATATAAAACGTTTGAAACAGGAACAAAATACTCTAAGATATTTCCGAGTTGACTCTGAATAGGTGTAATATTTGATTTGAGCATATTTTGCGCTATCCTTTGATTTTTGTAAATGAAGTCTGAGTACGAGTTTTAGAACTCGATAAGATCTTTCTAACGAGTTTTTAAAAGATTTCTGTGACCTAATGCAAAGCAAGCGCCAGGGTCAAACCTAACGATGCTTAAGCGCCCAGACGCTCGCTTAAAAACTCTATCATGAGGTCTATCATGTGTGAGTCTCGCCCAGGGTCAAACCGCCATTTTTTGCTGAAACGACATTTTCCAACCCCCATATCTTGTTGTATGTTTTTCCATTTCAAGTGACCTATCCTTGAATGTTTTGTAAATGAAGTTTGAATACGAGTTTTAGAACTCGATGGGATCTTTCTAATGAGATATAAAACGCGTGAAACAGAAGAACATACACTTCATATTCTTTAATATTTTGTAAATGAAGTCTGAATATGAGCTTTGGAGCTCGATAAGATCGTTTCAACAAGATATAGAATGCTTGAAACAGAACAAAATACGGTCTTGACACATTTTCAAGACTAAATGTAGTATATTAATATGACACACTACAAATACATTTTAAAAATATCAAACTTCCAATATGATACTACTTGGGGGGGGGGGGGAGAATATACGTGTGGAGGATTGATCACATTTTATCCTTTTTATCTTTTTTCTTCTTTATCTTTTTATCCGTTATCTTATTTTCATCTTTATCTTATCTTTTTATCTCATGTTATCTTTTTATCCTTTCTAGCTTCGATTTCATATGCCCGTTCATGTTAACCGACCCCAAACTCTTTTGGGACCAAAGCTTGGATGTTGTTGTTGTTGTATTAGAAGGTGGTTAATTATCTAAATGATCTGCATTTGCGGATATAGTGTCTGAAATGATTAATCAAACGAGCCAAATTTTAAAAATGTTAATATGAGGGTTAACATTTCATGTCTGTTCCTTTCAGCTAACAAAAAACAATTTTGTGGGTACTATTTTTTTATTGAAGCTACATTTTAAGCCTACATGACATTCAGATGTGTAGGTATAAATTTTTTGGTAATAAAGCTGGTGAATCTAGCTCATAAGCCTAAGGAATGAAAAAAGAAAAGGTGTCACCGACCAATCGACCGTGT